AAGCAAACTGGAACTTAACTGGGTTTGATTAACATTAGACTGCAGTGTGCTTAACCCACTTTGAGCAGAGGCAGAACTGTTGTTTACTTGTTGAGAAGTATTTTGTTGCATGGATCCCATGGCAACCTGCTGGCCATTATTCATTGCATTTCCTTGACCTGATTCTAAACTAGAACCCGGAATGGAGCTGGGAATGTTCTGCTGTGGAGCTGAAACTCCAGGACGAGATGATAGAACATTGTTCTGCATATTTGTCAGACTACTCTGTTGTGCCCTTGGCCCAGAACCCTGCATGCCCATTGATTGCATCTGCTGATTTGTTTGACTATCATGAGATTGATCTTGAACGGTTTGAGATTGCGGTTGCTGCATAGGCTGCTGCCCTTGCTGTATTGGCCTTCTCGGCCTGTGCATATTTAAGAAACTTATAATCTGCTTCTCATAATTAGGCACCTTATCCTTTAATAAAGGCATGATATTGCTCTTTGAAACAGATAGGAATTGTATCATTCGCTCCAACATTGTCTTGAATTGTTTCAGTTTATCAAACTGATCTGATCTTTGTTGCTGCGGAAGAGAATCCTGCTCAAGAGAAAAAGAAACGTGTTTAATGAGAAAAGAAACAAACACACAGATGCAAGACACAACGTCTGTAGGTTCGAGAAGGAACATAGATATATAGGATTAACTTTCTAGTGGACAGTCCGTAAGAATACAAGTCTCAAGAGCCTTTTTGTTTGGCTAAATGGGTAAGATGACTCCAAAGTTGTATGACTTTCTTTAACGATAATGAACTGATCTAGCATTGAATTCATAAAACTCTTCATAAGGTATTCACTACGGTTCTGGATGACATACACGTGTAAACTATTCTCCTAGTAAAAGAAAATTGTAACTTACTTGCTGCAACTTGGATGCTACTCTTTGGTAGATTTCATTCAGATCTGGTAAGTACGCCTCTTTCATGGATTTGATCTGCAAAGACAACCACTATGGTCAGACAACTACTCATCACGGTGGTACCTATGTGAGATCGCCTGCCTTGTTACATCTATTATAAGGTAGCCAGAATTGGTAAAGCCATTCTAGAAAGCATTACTCAACTTAAAAGAGAGAGAATTACCTTTTGGTAAACCTCCTCTTGCCAATCACCTCCATTTGCATTTTCCGTCTGTGCCGTCGAATCCAGTGATGCTAAGAATTATACCCAAAAAAAGGGTTTGTTCAACACCAGATCTTAGTGAGAGATTATGTAAACTATCAAAACCTAAACTATTCAAAAGAATGCAAAAGCATACAAGATGGCATCTCTGGAAGGGTTCTTTGGGATTGATATAGTTGTCTCTGTTGGTCCACTACATTTTGAGGTGGAAGCAGGGAACCTGTGACTTGTCCTGAAACTTGTAGCCTTTGCTGCACATCCTGTTGTAGCAGATTAGGTTGTTGTTGCAAGCCTAGCTGCTGATGATGCGATTGAAGCTGGGGCATCATCTGCTGTTGGGATGGCTGATTTTGTGACTGTTGCTGTCCCTGAGAAGAAAACAAGCCATGGCTAGTCTGATGCGTTCGTTGCAGCCCAACCGCTGGCTGTGATAACATGTGCACCGAGTGCTGATTAGCCTGCAAGCTCGAATTGCCAGCCTGGGAACTGAGCAACTGTTGTTGTGGTTGCTGCAATCCTGCAACATTGCTTTGAGTTCCCAGTGGTTGCTGATGTGTCGCCTGAAGGCTGTTTTGTTGAGGCATCAAT